GTCTACAAAGTACCTGACCTGCCCTCCTTAAAACTGACATAAGGATTAAACACAAGGAAATGTGACAGTCATGGCCAAATGGAGCTTTGGGAGACATCCCAAACTCAGTGTCATGTGGTCCCCGGAAGGCGTCCTGGAACAGAAACAGAGCATCAGGGAAACTAAGGAGATCAAATACAGTATGGACTCTAGCAAACTGTACTGTACGGATGCTGGTTCATCCCTGCAACGACACAGCGCACAGGTGTGCGGGGCGCACAGGAACTGTCCAGCAGCTTCACAGCTTCCCTGCAAATCTAATACTGTTCTAAAAATACTTTTTAAAAATGCTTAGAAATTATTAAATTAAAAATTTCAGGATTTATAAACATTTAATTAAAATCCTAAGTCCAACATAGTAGATTCTCTGAATACTCACAAACTAAAGATCAGACATTAACACACAGGACACAGTAATAAAGGGGAAACAACTGCCAAGTCCCTCCACCATGTCTGTGGTTCAAAAGGCTAACAGATCCAGGGCTCAGTGGACTGGTGCCGATGACACTCCCCACCTGAGCCACCAGGAGAGACGGGCACTATGTGGAAAACACCTGTGCAAAGGCACCAAGGCAGGGAGATTCCAGGTCCCAGGGAGGAAAGCAGAAAAGACGAGCTGCCTGGTCCTCCCCCTCCTACAGGGGTAGCTGGGGGCCTGAGGAGCTGCAGGGGAGGGGCACACCTACGCTGGCCTGTGAATGGACTCTGGTGACCAGCCAGGAAATAGCGCCTGTGTCCTCCTCAGGTAAGAGAATGTCATCCATAGCTTCCAGCTATCTTTACAACAACTGGCACTTAAAGGAAGGAAAAACAGGACTGAATCACCAGCCATGAAAGGGCCGGGGCAAGTGGTCTAGGTGGAGCAGTCACCAGATAACCTTGTGATTAATGTGCTCAAGAAATCCATTACAAACTAATCTCCACAAATAACTTGACATTAGAAAAAATGGAAATTCTAGAATCAAACAGGACTATGATTAAAATTAAACTGGGAAACAAGGAAAGGCAGGTCTGAGAGCAGATGAGAAAGAGCTGGGACGATGAGCTTCTTGGAAGCCACATGAGAAGAACATGCTGGCTGAAGCTCAGAGAACCCAGGATGAAAAACAGAGGGAAGTGCCCAAGGGCACAGAACATGCACAACCGTCCACGTGGCTGAGGAGGGCCCAGTAAGAGGAGCACACAGAGAGGGGTGCAGGCCACACTGAAGAGGTCCTAGCCAGTCTTTTCTGAAACTGCAACGAATGTCAGCCAAGGAACATCAGGAGCCCCCAAGCAAAGTCGAGACAGAAGTCCAGATGCATGTGGTGGGGGCCCCTGTAGGGGCCAGGACACAGGTGCTCACTGCGGCCGACAAGCGTGTGTGCAACGGTCACACTCCCATCAACCCAGGATGCCCGTACCCCAAGGCCGCGGGAGCCAGGCCCCTCGCAATGTGAGGAGGTGCCTGCTGCGCTACCGAGCCTAGAGTTGCCAGCACCCAGAAGCAGAAGTAAATACAGGTGTGTGGGCGTAAGAGTCCAAATAAGCGAATCTGCAGGGAGAAGAGAAAGCACTGGCTTACACTGAACAGTAAGCAATACTGGGTGAGGGACAGAAGTGGGAAGGTGACAATTTGGTGACCATGACATTAACAACGGAGCCACAACAATCAGTGGATGCTCAAGCCACTGGCAGTCCAAGGAGGAAATGGACACTGACAAAGTCTCAAAGAACTTTCCCTGAAAAGATTAATTACAAGGAGTAAGAGAGTAACTGACAACGATGACAGCACCTCCGCCAAGTGATCAGAGTCGGTTTGACCCGTGAGGGCCCCACGTGATGAGCTCCGGGAGGCTCCTTGGAAAAGGCAGACGGCACAAGCCCAGTCCTGGGCAAAGAGCAAACAGAACCAAACTGAGGGACGTTCAGACACTGCCTGTCCTGTCATCCTCAGAAGTGTCAAGGAATACCTGAGGAAAAGGCGCAAATTCCTTGATACATACACCTTTCCCGAGGAAGGACAGGATACTGAATATTCCATATTTAGTAAAGAAACTGAATCTACACTGTAGAATGTCCCAGTGGAGCTCCATCCTTGCACACACTGAAGGAAGACGTGATGCTCATCTTATGCAAATTCTCAGGGAGCAAAAATGACGGTCCCACCTCAACTCAGTGTTGGGTGTCCGCATGATGTGGACAACATGTGTTGATGACTCCTGGGAGTGTGTCACAGCAAAGGAAAATTATCATCCAGTTTCTCAAGAATATAGGTACAAAAATCCTAAATTAAATACATGAACTGGGTCAGCTACATACAAAGAGGATACACAAAGTGGGACTCCATGACATCAAGGCTGGCCTCACAGTATAACTGACCACATGAATAGAAAAAGGAGGGCAGCCCGGGCGGCTCCGCGGTTTAGCGCCGCCTTCAGCCCAGGGCCTGATCCTGGAGACCTGGGATCGAGTCCCACATCGGGCTCCCTGCATGGAGCCTGCTTCTCCTTCTGCCTGTCTCTCTCTCTCTCTCTCTCTGTATGTGTCTCTCATGAATAAATAAATAAAATCTTTAAAAAAGGAAAAGGAGGAAAAAAATCATGTAGAGCAAACAAGTGATAAAAAAAATACCCAATTTTGTGACCAAAATTCAACTACTGATAAAATGGAACTTCCTTAAGTTCTTAAAGAATATCTACATCAACCTAGAGCAAACATAACCCTAGCGGTGAATTACTGAGAACTTCCTCCATGAGAGCAGAAAGCAGACTGGGACAGCCACCTGCACCTCCTACTCACCCGTGAACTAGAGACCCATCAAGGCAGGGGAAGAAAAGGCAGTGTACAGATTAGAGAGAAACCAGCTGTCTACCTGCTAGCACGCATTTTTATTTCTCTTTACATGCTGGGACTTTTAAATATCCACCTTCCATACAGAGGTAATTCTAACAGTCCCCACGTGTCCCACAATTGTCATTAGGATGGCCAGGGCTGGGGGTCACCTGGGAGTTGACCGGTTCTGAGCAGGGCCACCCGGAGGGCCCACCCACCTCAAGAACACCCTCCGTGGTGTGGCAGGCTGTCCACCACAGACGAGCCCCTCCTGAGCCTGTCTATGCTGTTGCACATGCCCTACCTGTGGTCGATAGTAGAGCTCGGCCACTCAACTCATCTGAGGCCCCCTCCCCACTGGGGTCATAGCTGCAAGCCAAATTCCTTGCTTACATTTAGAAAAACTAAGTAATTTAGAGAGGAAGCTTTGTATCAGTCACACAATGGAAAGCCAGCACCGCTCATCACACAGAGAGCATAAGAAAAAGTTACTAATCATTACCACCTATCAGTGACTCCAAAATCTGAGCTTGCAGCCTACGGTTTCCTTGTCTAAAAGTGAGGTCATCAAAAATAACTGGGATGTTAAAGATCTATTATTACTAAGTCAACACACTGACATAATCAGATGACTTTTTTTTTTTTTTAAATTTAAAAGGGTAAAAATTTCTCACGAGGTAATTTACTATGTATCCCCTGTGTGCACACACCTCAAAGCCCAAAGCACTAGTGTTTTGGACCAACAAGCATGGGGGAGACGGAAGTGGCCGCCCTCAGGGCTGCGGCAAGGGAGGGGGCTCCCTGGAAGCCAGGACTCCCATGTCCCACAGCCTGGCCGGGTTCCTGGGTAGTGGGAGCCACACCGTTCAGGGCCACAGGGGTGGGCCTGGCACCACAGGCTGTGCACACAAGCATGAGGCTTTGGCAAGACAGAGGGGCGCCTATCCAAGTCTCATGGTGACTGCTGGGACCAAGGTGGGAGTCATGAGGGCTTGTGCACCAGGCTCAGCAGGACCTTGGTGAGCATCCACTGCAGACCAGGAACCACCTGCAAGCACAGGGAGAGGCCAGCCCAGCCCCCAGACGCTACCGCCGCTGCCACCCGCGCTTACACGCCCACATCAGTCACAAAGAAGTAGTGTGCAAACATGCTAATGTGGGTACTGCTGAGTGATAGCCTCATGGTTTTATGTACTTCCCCAAATTCCAACATCGTATACACTCACTTTCAAAACAACCAGAAGAACTTCTATTAAAGAACATGCCAAGTATCTCAAGTAAGAGAGCAAGCAACGGGATATACTCGGACATCCAATCAGTGCTTCAAGCAATTTGCAAGCATCACAGAATTATAGCAATGCAAAAATATTTAAGATTTAAACTTATCTAAATGTTGGCTGCTCAGCTTGGCGATCTAATTTAAATATAATCTTTTCACACATCTGCCAATAACAACCCCCCAACCACAGCTGATGCAGAAATGGATCGTGTCCTTAGTCTTCCACTGACGTCAGGATTCCTGGAGAAGTCTCTCCCTCATCTGCCGGCTTCCACAACACAACTCACGAGTATCCCCTCAGTTCATGGAATTTTGCCTAAAATGACCCTCCACAAATGATCCTGGAAACCAATAATTCACTAAAAAGATATGGAAACCAGAGAAGACGATCAATAACACAGTCGGAGCCTCCTGAGCTCTGCCTCACCCTGGCCCAGCTGCGGGCCCCACCCCTGCACTCTCCCACCTGCTCTGCCGACCCTCTGTAGGAACGCTCGCCTTCATCCTTTATGGATGGATGTAGCGTAAGGAGTAAGGCAATACCCCAATTACAATTTGACGCTGAAGACACATTGACAAGAGCTAAAGAGCAGATGGTACGTTGCGATCAAGATAACATGCTGACGAAGAAGGCTGCCTGCGACACGCCTCCCCAGGGCAGCCCACTACACGCCACCCTGCGGAGGGAGAAGCTGTACCAGCTTTAGACATGACCGTGAGGGGAAGAAAGAATTACTTCAATGAAAAGGAATCTCCTTCACTGAAACAAACAGGCAAAAAATCACAAAAGCTACTTTTCAGAGCCGTGACCTAGGTGCCATCCACGGGGGCCCACAGCAGACAGCTTCACCTGGCTTCAGAATCCCACCTGTGTGAATTTATGGAAGATGCGGTCACTCTGGTGCGCTCCGATTGTGACTTCTGGGAGATAGATAGGAATGGTTGTGTAATTCAGCACCTCCAGCTTATTCTGAACCCTACAATATAAGACAAATAGAGATCTCATTAAACCATCAAAATAAATATAACAAAATAAGCTGTAAGGGTAATTAGAAAAATAAAAATCATACATCCAACTAAATAACATTCACCCCCAGGGCAGTCCTCTAGAAGCAAACCTTCATCCCAAAGACCGTGAGGTCTGTGTGCAGCTGCTTTTCTGAAGCGACCTTCAGAACCTGAGGAGAGTTTTCCAAAAGCCTGAGCAGACAGAGAGGATCACCTTTTGGGAATGGGTGAGGTTTGGAAGAATAAAAAAGGAGCCACGCTGTGTTTTAAACACAGGAATGGCACAAATAAAACACTAAACCCAACGCCATCCACAACAGTGTCATGCACATAGTGCGCCCTCATTACAAACATGCAAAATTAATGAATCTCCAGGGAAAGGCAGCAAGCGACTCTGGTCCTTCCAGATTTACCATGCAGCTTCTTGCTGCCCTGCCTGAAAGATTCCAGGAGGAGAAGGAACACGGGGAAGTCAGGAGCATAGGGTGGGGCAGGCCCACACAGGGCAGCTGGGCGCGCCCGCGCCTGTAAAGGTCTAACTCTCTGCCTTGTTTGGCACTGACAAATACAAATCATAGGATATGCTCCTTGTTTCACCACTTTATTTTGCTCAATTCTAAAATATTTATACTGTGTTACAACTGCTTATTTCAAATTAAGTTTAGTCTGAATATGACCACTATACTTGAAGATGAAAAACATTTTTTGGGGCTTTTAGAAAGAAACACTTAAATAAAGTCTCCTTTCTTTAGGGTTCAAAACAAAGCAAATAATTATTTTAAATGACCACTTTCCCATTAATAAGTTATAATGGCAAAAGATGTTTCTGTTTATAATGGCCCAAATGGAAGTTCTTTAAAAGCATCTGGCTTTCAGCTACTTTGATGATTAAGAGTCCAAACCCACGTAAACCCCAAGCTAGTGCCCACTGGCACCCGGAGCTGACTGCCGTGGTCAGAACGTCCCATCCCATCGGGGCCTGGGCTCCTGGGGCCCTCTCCTACCGAGAACCTGCGGCAGGCCCAACAAGAGCAATGGGCAGGAAAAGGTACATCCTGAGTGTCACCAGTACAAACTGTCACTCATACATGGACTAATACTTTGGTAACAAGTATCACCCAAGGAAATGCAAACGGCTGTCTTCCCAAGTGTATCTATGTGGGCACCCAAGTGGCTACAACATATCGACTCCAAGAGGAGGACTCTTTCTCAGCCCTGTAGTAAGTTGTTTACACTAGATCTTTGTAGGCTACTGTAGATAATGCACAAATACACATCTCTTTATTTTTAACAAATTATTCTTACTGTTTTGTAAAGATGATTTTTCAAGTGATCTCACAATAAACAACTTCCACTAAAATGAAATTAACGTATTTGGACGTTAACAAATATCGAGGTGGAGGACTTGGTTTTCTCAGTAGTGTGAAAAACCCACAGAATTCTGGAAAATCTGAAAGGCATTGTTGGCCTAGGAGCTGGTCCACAATATGCAGAGCAACAGTGCCATCTATGCCTCATCCGGCTGAAGTACAGTCTACAAGAAACCTCCCCCCCAAAACAGTGCATCTTTCAACAAATATGCTTCCAACTGTTTTCGAATATTAAAAAAAAAAAAAAAAAAAAATCTGCAACTGTCTATAACTTATTTAAACTTGGCTAAACTGTTCCGTCAATTTGTCACCATGAACTTAAGCAGTGACTATCAGGATGAGCCTATGGTGTCACGTCTCCCGTAAATCCCAAAAGTCATAACCTCCCATCAACGAGATTTACTCTAGATTGACGATAAGTAAAGGAACAGAGACGATGGGAAGCACTTTATGACCCAGGGAGCAAAAAGCGGAGAAAGAAAACATTCCGTTCACAAAGCACTTAGTCTAATTGAGAAGAATTCAGAAACTGGCTGAGGATAATATATCCTCTTAACATCATAAGCCAAAGTGCCCAAAGAAGATGATGAAGAGTAGTGCAGCTTGATTTACAACACAAGGCGGTGTGCCACATATTCTAAAAGAATGAGGCAGGAAAAGACAGAAAAAATACCTAGTAAATTACGTTTTATGGCTCACACTGATTCCCAATTAACAGAATGTCTATCCCTGCTCTAAACCATGTCCACAGTCTATCTGTTGGCTTGTCCTGAACTGCAAAGCTATGTCTGAACCCTACACTCTGATGCTAGATTCATATCCCACCAGCTTGGCACTACTGGGATTTCCTACTACAAGGACCCTGTGTCCCCGAGTCACAGGAAGCAGAAGTGTCTGTGATGAACCAAACGGGGTGAGCAGGAGGGCGGCCCAGGCTCTGGGGAAGCAGGAGGAAGGGGCTCAGAGCCCTGCACGCATGGAGCCCTGTATCGGGACCACAGTCCCCAACACAGGAATGGAGGTGAGCATGGCGGGCGCCAGCCAGTCATGGGGTATGCATATGGACACAAAATGCTACCAGCTTGACAAATACAGTTACTGTCTCTTAGCATAAGCACACACACACTTAATTATACACCGGCATACGTCACTGAAATGGAACAAAAATGCGCTGAACCAGTAATTTGGTCAGGTTCTAGACAAAATGAGTATAACTAGTAAATGGGATGTTTACAGCAATTATCTTAGAAAATTGGTCATAATTTTCATGTGAGTCCCCAAATTAAGAAATGACACTCACATGAAAATAAACACAATTACCGTTCCACACTGTTATGAAATATCCGGGGGGCAGGGGAGCAAGAGATGGGGAGAAGGAGTGATAGGCCATTTATAGCAAAATAAATCAAAACAGTGAATTGGATGCTGTCATCTGTAAACTTCAAGGGAATTATTGAATCTTTCTCCAGACAAAAACGCAACTAAGTAATTACCAAAATCATGATCTGAAGACACCATTTTGGACACAGTCTGGAATCAAATGAACACGACCCTGATATCGGTGGAATAAGTCACCAGGCCCTGGCCCAGCACCTGGCCTCAGTGGGACAGCAGGGCATGAAGCCAGCCACCTCCTCACACGCTGCCTCACGTCTGTGTCCAGCTGTCGCTGATGCCAACCAGAATTGCAGATAAAGTGGGGCGAAGTTAAGACAAGGTATTCAGGGGGGGAAAGGCTTAGACATAAACTAGGATTTTTAGATAATTACCAGGCAGGTAGAGGAGGTAACAGATTATTCAGGAGGTAGAACCAGATGATCAGGATTCTGAACTACTCAGAAATGAAATTTGGATTCACCACTAAATGAAGGCAGGCCACGGAAGGATCCAGAGTGAAGGGAAAACAGGGCCACTGTGACATTTTTATGAAAATTAACCTGGTGGGTGTGTGCACACAGGATGAGAAGGAGTAAGAAATAATAGATGGCAGGAATAAAGATCAAGAATGAGGGGACCAGGGGCATGTGGGTGGCTCAGTCGGTTGGGCATCTGCCCTCTGCTCAGGTCATGATCCCTGGGTCCTGAGATCGAGCCCCACACTGGGCTCCCTGCTCAGCAGGGAGCCTGCTTCCCCCTCTCCCTCTACCTGCTGCTCCCCCTGCTTGTGTGTGCACATACATGCTCTGTCGAATTAAAAAAAAAAAAGTTAAAAGAAAAAAAGAATGAAAGGATTAAACCCCAAGGACAGCAAAAGTCATGAAAGAAAAGGAGAAGGTGTGAAATCACCAGGGACAAGCACACAGACCTTAGTGTGTCACTTAGGGTGTGTGGTAAGGGGGCTGTCAGGCAAAAGGAGGGTCCTGGCAGCATGACAGCTGAAGGAGGAGGGGACAAGCCCGCCAGGATCCTAGCCTGAGCCACTGAGAGGAGGGGAGGCGGCATGGTTTGTGCTCAGGACCGCAGGGAAGCTCATGTTGGCCGCTCCCCACCTGTGGCAGGTCTGCGCTCCTGAGCCATGGCTTCCACACCTGTAAAGTGAGGGAAGCCCCCACCAGGCAGCAGTGCTGTGGCCTCAGGAAAACGTTTCTGGAACAGCTTCTGGGTCCAGTGCTGACACTGTAACTTGATTCAGGCTAACACCTCGAGGCTTCAGACCTAGAGGAAGACACTACACAGCAGCTAAAACAAAGGACACAGGGTTTTCAGCAAGATTAAAGAGACATATGCATACTCTGTTTAGGTTAAGTTCACAAAAACATTTACACATATAGGCATCTAAACAAAAAAAGTTTACCAGTTTTTAAAAACAGACTTCCAGTTTCAGCTCCAACAAGAGCTTGAAAGCCATCACTCCTATCCTTACAACAACAAAATATCCCTGAAAATCAATTACTTGTCCCGGAAGAAGAGCGGCGACGCATTGGCAGATGATGGCACCTGGATGGAAGGGAGGAAGCGGGACCGCTCTGCTCTGCTCACCCCGTGAGGCGGCAGGGCCATCGGAAAGCGGATGGAGACAAGCTGCAAATGCACCCCGGGGGCCCCAGAGCTACAACACGAGGCAGGCACCTGGTCTGCTAGGAGGGGAGAGAACATGGAATCACACTGAATGCTCTGTTCCAACAGAGAAGGCAGAAAAAAGGAGCAGAAGAAAACAAAGCACAAAGGCAACAAACGGAAAAGAGTGACAGACACCGTAAACGTTAATCCACATGTATCAACGTTCTTTTTAAAAGTGAACCATCCAAACATAGCAATTAAAAGAGAGAGGCTGTCAGAACAGATAAAAACATGAGACCCGGATCAACACTGGCTACAAGGAACCCACGGTAAACAAGACTCAGGTCGAAGGAAAGGGGTGGAGGAAGACGCCTACACCAACCAAAGCTGGAACAGAGGCAAGCGTGCAGACACAGGGACTGCAGAATGAGAACAATCACCGGGCACGAAGCAGGGCATGGCGCAGCGAGAAAACGGTCAGTCCTCCACGAAGACACAACCGCTGCAAACACCTGAGAGCAGAGCATCAAACTATAGGAGGCAAAAACAGGAGCCGGCACGCAGAGGGGCTGACGTGCTGCTGTGGCTGGAGAGCTCGCCGCCCCCTCCCCGGTGGACAGGCCCCTGTGAGCAGAGAAGCCCGGGAGACACGGATGAGCTGACACCCCCATCACGCAGCCTGGTGCCCCCGACCCTGACACCTCCTTGTTCCACTCAACAGCAGGACACACGTTTTTTCCTAAGCTCAACTGGATCACGAATCTGCACGGAACACACTCCCAGCCACATAAAGCCCCCGCACCAGTGCAAATGAGCAGAAATCACACGCTGCTTGTACTCAGAGCACAATTGGGATTAGACTGGAGGGTGGCCGACAGCACTGGGTGCACGCATGAGGACCTGAAATTGAGCATCAAGGCCTCTACCCTAGAGAACAAGGAAGGAAGATGAATGAAGCCTAAAGGAAGCAGGTTAGGAAAATAAAAAGAACTAGAGCAGAAATCAGGTAGACTGAAAACAGAAAAATAGAGAAATCCAATAAAACAAAAAGCTGGTTTTTTAAAAAGGTCAATAAATATAAATACAAAATTCACAAATGAAAAATAGGCAAAAAAAAAATAAACTGAAGTTCATGTTTATAGAATGCAAAGTAAAGCAAACACTTATCTTTTGTGTCAAAATCACAAAATTTCCATTAGCTTTTTGTTTGCACTACAGTTAGTCTATGACGTCCAAAGGATGGTCAAGCTCGCAGACTGGTGTGCGTTTTCCAGAGAACAGTTCTCCAACACACGGAGAGCTGTACAGTGCGTTCATACGACCGCACCCAGTTCACCCCGCTTTTACTCCCGATGGGGAGCAAGACCACGTGCAATGTGCTGGAACCACAGGTGACCGGACCTGATCCTGGACCTGTGTGAGTGGGTGTGACCCCCACCTGTCATGCACTGAGCTCAACCACCTTTTCTGTGTTCTCCACCTAGCCTCACCCACATTCAATCTCTCACCATCACACTCATTCACTTTTGTATGGTTCTCCGCTCTCCTGCCCTCTCCTACCCGCTGATCCTCTTCAAATGCACAGCTCTGCCCACTGCCCGAGGGCACTGGGGCAGCAGAGGGCGGGAAGGGGTGCTCCCTCCACTGGACATCAGGACCACTGCCCTGCCCTGCTATCCACAGCACGCTTCCAGGCCGGTCCTCCCCACGCCGAGGCCCAGACATTTCGTACCTGTCCTCCTCCAATATGGCCTCCTCAAACCTCCAATATGCCCTTCCCCACCCCCACTGCCCCTCGTGGATGATGACCCACTTTCCATCACCATGAAGACAGAGGGGGCCATCAGAGAAGTCCCACACGCCTAAGGTATATCCCCCTCACCCGGACCCTGGTCACACCCCCTCCTCCACCCTGTGAGAAGCATGGACGGCCACGGAGCACGAGGCCCCACCTTCAGAGGCCACTCACAGTCTTCCCCCAGGAACCCTCCTTCCCTTTCTGCATCAACCCCCACCCTACAACCATAGGATCCTTCCCATGAAATACCCTATTTCTTCCATCTCAAGCATAAACCAAAAACTGCTAAAAATAAGTAAAATCTTAGGTCTTACTTTTAAAAACTAAAGCAGTAGGTTCAACATGAGAAATTATCCCATCTCAAGCACAGGATATGGCTTCTATATATGCTGACATTAGGGTGCATGGAGTACAGAAAAACAAGTGCAGTAGTTATCAAGAGAAAAGCTGTGAGCTAGCAAAATATCCAGTGCACAGAGGAAGGTGGCACTTGGGGCCCAGCTCTGCCAGAGATTATCCACGGGCTCGACACCCAGACTGGTGCTCCTCAAAACGGATGTGGCCCGGCCACTGTGTGCCCAGCATGGCAAGGGCAGAGGCCAATGCTGAGCCTCCAGCACAGCTGATCTTTGGAGACAAAGGGGGGAAGTCAGTACCATGGGTCCCACCCTTCATGGAGGGGCAGACACGGACCCTCACAGGATGCTTACGTTTCCTGGGTCTAGATTCGCCTTCCTGCCCGAGACATTTCTGCCAGAAGCCCAGCTCACGTGCACACAGAAGGCCTTTCCACTGTCCTAAACAGAGCAGGCCTGAGACCGCGGTCCCCCTGGGCTGGTGTCTACTAAACACTGCCCTAAGGCGGGGGCACTGCACACCAGGCACCAGGGTACAGTGGGATTCATGGGGGTCAGGAACGTGCGTAGCTGCTAAGGCAGAAGGTGCCAGCATGACTAGCACTCAATAGAAACTCTGGGTGCTGAGCATCTATCTGATGGGCTCTGTGGGCAGAAATACCTACCGCCCATGCCCATGTGTTCAGCACTGCTTTTCTCGTGAACGAAGCGGCTCATTTGGCATGTCCCTCATGGAGGGAGGGAGCATCGCGGTCCGCGCGTGGACTGCTCCACATTTGCCGTGTCCTTCTCCTCATGGACCAGCTATGAATCCTTGCTGATCCCCTGCGCCATGAGCACAGCTATACGCTGTGATTTCCAAGTCCTTCCTGTGACTTCTCAAGTGTGGGGTTGGTTGGGTTCAGGGACCTCAAAACACATGGTGTACTGGGTTGAGTAGTGTCCCCCCAAAGTTCATGTGCACTTGGAACCTGTGACCGTGATCTTATTTGGAAACAGGGCCTTTGCAGAGAGAAGTTAAAATGTGATCACAGGGGACTGGCGTGAGTCCTAATCCTGTGACTACTTAATTTATAGGAAGAGAGGAATGTAGACAGAGACACAGTCACACAGGGGAGAAGGCCATGTGAGGACAGAGGCGGAGTGGGAGTGACATAGCCACGCGCCGAGGAACGCGGAGGATCGCCAGCAGCCACAGGAAGCTGGAAGAGGCAGGAAGGACTCTTCCTAGAACCTGAAGAGCAGGGTGGCCCTGCCAACACCTTCATTTTGGGCTTCTGGACTCCAGAGCCAGGAGAATAAACTTCCATTGTTTTTAGCACCCCTGGTGTGTGGTTACTAGTCATGGCAGCCCGAGGGCACTCATGCACACGGTCATGAGCATAGCGTGGCCCTGACCAAGGGACGCGTTTCATGGCATGGGAAGTGTGACGATGGCTCCAAGTACGTGACATTCATCGTCTTGACACAGCTGGCCCAACAGAACAGCCAATGTCCCTGGGAGGATGTCAGGCACTAGCTGGAGAGAGCACCTCGTTGTGTGCTTGCGAGAGGCGGGGTGCTGTCCGACCAGCTAACCAGCAGCAGGATTTAGAGCCCTCTCCGCACCACCCTGGGCCTGGAGGCTGGTGGACAAAGTGCCCAGAGAAGAGGAAAGTGGAAGTTTTATTGGACTCTAAATCCTCTAAATCTGGAACATTGCTTGGTGTGTGGTGGACACACTTACCTGTTGAATTAATATTGGCAATCAATTAATTAGTTGTCAGACCACAGAATGCAAGAGACTGAAGGGAACAGGAGATACACCCCATTATCGGTGGCACTGTTAACATCTAACTTGAAAAAGAATTCCTTCAAACTTCTGTAACTTTCTACAGCAGGCCAGGGCCTGTGCTCAAAAACCCAGCCCCTCGTCCCATCTGCGCGGCTCCCCAACAGCATGGAACTTACAGCATCCGCAGATGGTGAAAAGTCCGGTCGTCCTGATAGAGCCACGGCCCTTTGTCATACTTGAGGTATTCGATATCCTCTATTACCTAAGACAGGGACAATTCCAGTTTTAATGCAGAGTCCCACTTCGGAAATTTAAATGAGACAGCATTTTAATACATCATAAACCACAAATATATAGCAGGAAGAATCACCGCAGAAATCAAAAAGAAAAATTAGACAGATGGGCTTCAGTGAGAAATGGGACAGAGCGCTCATCCCCTGTGGGTGCTGGGCCCCCGGTGACACCGGGGTAGGGGGGTGGCACTGATCCTCAGCGTGGGAACCCAGCTCAGGTGACCCCCGGTGTGGGTGCCAGGCCCCAGGTGACCCTGGGGTTGAGGGGTGGCAATGACCCTCAGTGTGGCCCAGTTAACACACGAGTGGTGCAGAAACTACACGTGAGGCTGGGAGACGCAGCGCAGGACAAAAGAAAAATCAAGAAGGGGGGCGCCAGTGTCAGTGACAAACTGCTCAATTCCTGCCCAGGGACTTCATTCTAGAACACAAGACCTAGCCACTGAAGGCAACAGAACAACAAGAAAATTGATACACTTTCTAGAGAGATCTAATAACCTGTTTCCACCCCCCACCCCGCACCCTGCAGTCCACCCAGAGGGGCTGCCCCCAAACATGCCAAACTTAGGATCCTCTCTTAGGTTTCAAGCATTTGATACATTCAGTTATGAACTCAAAACACAGCATGGTCTTAGAGAGGGAACGTGTTCCTCTACTCAGACGCATGGCATCTGAACGGTCTGTCCAGGTGTAAAATAGTACAAACACACACACATTCAGGTCACAGCAACAGAAGCATGTGGACCAGTGTCATCCAAGCACAACAGGCCGGGTGCGGTCCTCAGTGCTGTCCCAAAGCCGCACCACGACACGGCCTTAAGGGAGGGCGCTACTCTGTGGAGAAGACCTTCCTCGCAACATTCACCCCTCCCGCGCCCGGAGCTGACCGCCGCAGGTGTGCACCGCAGCAGTCACCTCTTCAGTCCTGCTCATACCACCACATAGGCCTCGACCGCAGATCATAAAACCGGTATTTTCTTCTAGAATTTTTATACCTTTTGTTTTGCATTTTAGTAATTTATGATTAATATATATAAAAATGGGACTTTTTTTTTTGCCTAATGGATGATCCATTGCCCCCATGACATTTAAGAAGTAATTTTCTTCTACTTCGTCATTATCCTTCAAAGCACTGCCTTTACCAAAGTCAAGACACACACACACTTGCACACACGTGTGCTGACACATGCACCTGTTTCCCCACTCTCTGATCCATTCCATTAAGCTATTTATTAATTCCGGTGTTAATATCACAGCGCTTTCATTACCATGATTTTGGACTATGTTTCTGTACTGGGAAAGGCAAATGTTCCTTTCTTTTTCAAGTTTTTTGGCTGTTATTCATTAAGTTCTCCTGAAAATTGCACTGAGATTGACTTGAATTTTACAAATGCACTTAATAATGTATCTTCTACAATTTTAGGATCTTAGAAACTGAATTATTTAAATGAAGATGAAAATCTCATGACGGGAGTGCAATAGGTTGGCTTAGTACCTCTTTTAGCTTATGAAATACAAACATTTCTAAGACCTGTAGGAGCAGAACCGGTTATATGATTTATAAGAACCTTACAAATTAAATTTAAGAACTATAAACTCTCCCACCAATTTCTTACCTTTTCTGCATCTTGAGCTTCCCTTGCACTATACTGTAAAACCTCACATTTCTCACTGTAAGAAAACACGAGAATTTAATGTAAATTTTGCAAGCTTAACGTACAAAAGAACACGACGTTAAAGTCTACCCCTATAAACATTAAGACTGCGTTCTTAGGCTAGAACAATGTGCTGGACACATGCTGGCTCGTGTGGCCAGAATGACTGAGGAGCACCTGCCAGCAGCAGAAACGTGGTGAGCAGGAGACCAGCGGCCAAGGGGGACACGGGGCACAGAGAGCAGTCAAGGGGGGCTGGAGGACCACCGCGGGTGACTTGAGCTGCTGGAATCCAGGAGACAAACCAACTGTGTCACGATGACCTGTTTCAACCCAACTCTGCAGCAGAAAGGCAGCAGCTCAGTTTCCTCAGTCCTTGGCCCTTAGCCTGGACACTGAAGAATCACAGGTAGGTGCCAAAAAGAAGGGGGCAGCAGGCTGCCATTTCCAGCATGCCTGCCCATTTCCCCCACCACGTGTACCACCATTCGGATGGTAGACTGCCCCCCCCCCCCGGGAGAGGACTGGAAGCCAACAGATTGCTAAGTCTGTACCCGACAAATGAAGCAGGCTGCCTCTGCCACCACCTCCAGACCAGCCAGTGGGAGATCCCAGGCCACAACCCCGACCAGAGAGGCCAGCAAGGCTGCCCAGACCGGAGTCCCACTGGAAAGCCCATCACTGCAGAAATGTCTGACCCCCTTCCCACAGAGGGGACAGCGGAATGTCAAGGACAGACGTCCCACAGACCGTCTGCCGGCATAAACAAGGACGCTCCCTCTTTTAGGCGTCCTTACCACAGCACCTCCCTACTGATGGGCATCAGTCTATAGAGTCCAAGGCTTCACAAGCTGGGCTCAACCTAAACTCCCCATCTGCCCTCTGCAGTGCTATCCAGCTTCAGCAGCCGGGAACCACCTGCAGCCAGCCCCGGGTCAATGAACTCGGTACCGCTGAAGTACCTGTATTAGCATCATTACCACCAACTCCTACTAAGCTCAAACTTCTTAGGAGCCGTGATTATAGATAAGCCTATATTCTACATTCAAAGGAAGCCATCCGACTAGGTAACCGTTTCTCACTGCAGCGGAGTCACTGCAACTCTTCATCAGTAAAGATACGTGAAAATGGTCAGAAACCATAAGCAGAATGACGATGGATCCATAAGGCCGGAAACGTGCGCTCACTGCACCCGCCTTCCAGCTGGAGTAAAAGCTACCCCTCGTTAGGGAACTCGGTGTATTTGCTCCTCAAGGGCCTGCGGCCTCCGACCGTCACTATGAGGAGAAAGGCACAAAGGTCATCTCCCTCTAAAGCCACACACATCAGGATAAAACCAAGTGTGCAGAGGGCAGAGGTTGGGGACACTCCTTGACAATCCAGGGAGGGCAGCTGGCATGGAAACGTTATTGTCTATCACACAGCAATGGAGACGGCCAGAATTGATGTGGCTCCCTGGCATAGCGGTCACAGGTCAGGAAAGCAGTGATGGGTACCTCCAGCACAGTGATCGGCACATTTCCGAAGCCCCCACCAGGCGCTGCATGGGGTGGACAAGGGGACAAAGATGGGGCTTCTGCTGACAGAATTTGAGATTCCAGACCATCGACTGCAAACCTACAGAGCCAATTTCAAAGCCTAATGTTTCCATCTTCCGTGTGACTCAATTCAATGAACTTTTATTTTCTGAGTGCTTATAATGAGCAGCATCCCATGCCAAATGTCCCAGTAACAAACCGACAGAAGACACAGGACAAAGCAAATCCTCCTGTTGGGTCGCGCTCGCCTCTCGCTCCTACTGGTTTGTGAAGGAGGCCGGAACAAAGAGGGTGGCCAACAAGGGTCTCAGATTTGGGGACAACGGCCTAAGGAGCAACTCAAAACCGACTGACACCCCATGCCCACCTGTCCCAGGAACCACCAGGTCTCTGGGAACCACGGTGCTGATGGCAACATTTACAGACAGAGCAAAGTAAACGTCTTCATGAGTGATGCACCGATGTCTGCTAAACCAAGCTATCGCTCAAACTTATTTACAACACATTCAGAATCAGGTAATGAGGATAAAAACATGTTCTCCAACAATTTTAAGCGTCAATGTTGACATGGCCAAAAAATACCAGAAAATTCCTCTGGTAGGTCACTCTGCCTCCTGAAATCTCACCAATGCTGACTTCGGCTAAAGCCTCACCGTTCTTCATGTGCTCACAAACGTCATGTAAAAAGACAATGATGCATTGCCATGTGTCCCGGTCATGAAAGAAGAGCTCACACAGGTGAGGCCAGCTCAGGAGCAGACAGGATCGTGTCCAGTAAATCCGCTCTACTTCAAATACTAACTTTCAAACTAAAAACACTTCTCTTATTCAAAACAGAGGTCTGTTTTCTCTGTAAGTCTAAACCTCCTGACCCATGGTGGCATGAATGCCTGGACCTGAGAAACATCCAAACATCCTGGGAAGGAAGGAGGGGAGCTCTCTCCCCCAAAGTGTGAGCCTCTGCTTCTCATCCGAGCAGGAGGCACTGTACTACCAGGGCTCAGCACAGGCCGCGAGGCCCCACGTGAACTCACAAGAACACAAAGCTCCACAGCAGAGCACTGCACATCCTCTGCACTGCCTGCCAACAAGGGCTCTGAACGCCGAGGCGGGGCCTCTCAGGGATGCAGGAGACACCCTGGCCTATACGATCAGGGCCTGAGGCCAGGACTGTGGGGAAGGACTGGAAATCACCGCCCAGACTAAGAGCATTTGCGACACTGTGCTGAAACTCATCAGGCTCAGTACGCTGAACCAGGATGGGTGCGCTGAGCGCACAGTGGCCGTTCCACCCACAGGAACTGTCATGTCAGGCACTGCCAAGCAATGATGCCCAGACTCTGTGCGTGATCCATTAGGTCCACACCGGAAGAAACACAAAGCACACATCGCCTGCCCTGACTTGTAAGGATCGGAACACTGCTCTGCTCCGCTCCACGCAGGGATCAGCGTCGCCAAACATGCTAGGCTGGGCCAGTCGGCCAGCACGATGGACACCAGCACCGCTGTGGGCCTTGGGAGAGGCGTACGGGAGCCGGGGCGCACAGCACGTGAGGCTGCAGGGCAAACTCCCACTGCAAGTCAAGTCTTGGCAACCAAATGATGCAAGGGACGCTTAGGACGGCTGCTAAACACACTCTGTGACCAGGAAGCCCTTGAGTTCTTGAAAATAACCGCAAAGTAAAAGAAAACCTCACCCTGACTGGCAAGTTGAACTCAGGCATTAGCAGCTAGAAATTCTATTTGAGAATTTTTCAGTTGATGTTTTTGTAGTCAGAAGATCTCCAAGAGTTTTTGGAACCCACACGAGGGTCAATGAAAGCTGTTTCTTCTGCTTTTTCATGTATCTCTAGACATTCCCCTTAGCACAGATTTTAAAAAACTGATTTTTCCTGCACCTCTGGTCTTAAAGCAGTACACCAGGAAGACGGGCCTGCAGCGCCCTGCCCATACCGCTGCTAGGTAACAGCTTATCACAAGAGAGAGGCAGTAATGTAAGCATCAATGCTTATGCTTAAAAAAACTTGGTTTTCCACTTACAAATCAAACTTTTCTTCCAAAATTACTACAATGTACTTTGCTTTTATTCACAATTTCATATGTTGAAATCTTAAACTATGGAATGAAAATTTTAGGTATCAAGAGGCTTTGGTTTAAAAGAACTTAAGAAAAGCTGGTAGAGACCTTCTAGTGGGACTCGAGCGACAGTGGCCGCTACCTCCCTCACATGCGGGCAGCCACGGACCACAGGATGACGAGCAGAGCGCAGAACGTTTCCCTTTGTGCTTTCAGTAAAGGAACAATGACAGCAGGAGGAGGGAAACAAACAGGAGAATCTGTGGGATCTCACTGTATCCAAACAACCTCTAGGAATAATTTTTAAAAGTATCTACAGGGATTGCTTGTCTTTTATGGATTCTCCACGCAAATTTGAGCAGGCCTCCCAGGTAAGCAGGAATGTTCAGCTGCCACCTCAGGTCAAAATATAGAGTTCTCCGATGCCAACACCATCAGAGAGCTTCACCACTGTGAGATACAGCACGGGTTTACTCCCAGCTTCAAATGATGCCGGAAATACAACAAAGGTATGGACAAAACATGCAAACTGAAAACCCCCACCAGTCAAGCTGAAATGTGTGTCATTCTCGCTCATACACGTCAGGTTAAAACAGCACAGACGTGCACTGCAGTCATGAGAGCGGACTCCCGGGCTGCTGGGCAGAGGGGGCCGTCTGTACAGATGTTCCGGTCACAGAAACCAAGCACACGCTTGGCTCACCTCATCTCAGGCAGGAAGGTCTTCTTATAGGCGTTCTCGATGTCCTGCAGGTAGGCGGATGTGACCTTCATCTCATGGGGCTAAACAGAAGAAAACAAATGATACGTTTAGACTTTTGTTTTCACTTGGGCATCTATACGCGGGGAAAACAAGCAACAGACACGGTTGTCTTGGAACAAGTCGTGGTAGTTGCAGGGACGACAGAGAATGGGCCTCGGCACTGGTCAGGATCATCCTCATTCTCCCACAGTGAAGCCCACATCTACCCAGGGGATCCCACAGCATGACCTCTCACGGGCTTTAAGACACGTGCTTAGAATGGGATCAGAAGAGCCCCCTTTTACAGTACACATGGCACGGAGCACACGTGTGCACGTATACACACACGGCACGGAGCACATGTGCACATGTATACACACATACGTCATGGAGCACACACATGTATGTATATACACATACAGCACGGAGCACATGTGTGCACATATACACGCATACAGCATGGAGCATGTGGTATACGGTACACACAGAGCACACGTGTGCAGATATATACACACACAGAGCTCGGAGCATATGGTATACAGGGCACACATGCACAGCACACACACGCACATGTACACACATACAGAACATACGGTACGTGGTACGCACACAGCACACACACAGCATACGTGCACACATACACACAGCACGGAGCATATGGTATATAGTACACACAGCGCATATGTGTACACATGCACAGCCCGGAGCATATGGTATACGGTACATGCACAGCACACACGCATACACATAAAGCATACATACACAGAGAATACATGTATGTATGTATACACACATACAGGAGTATATACGTATGGCACACATGCAGCACACACACGCACATACACACACATGCAGCATGGAACATATGGTATTCGGTACATAGCACAAACGCACAGCACGTGCACATATATGCACAGTGTGGAGCATATGGCATACAGTACACACAGTGCACACGTGTACACATACACACAGCATGGAGCACATGGTATTCGGTACGTGCACAGCGCACACGCATACACGTACAGCAAAGAGCATATGGTACAGAGAATACACGCACGTACGTATACACACAGACAGCAGAGTATACACGTATGGCACACATACAGCACACGTGCACACATACAGAGCCTGGCAGCAGACCACTGACAAGGGCACTGGCCCACCTCTCCCCCTACCCTCACACACTGCCTTCCCCCCCTCACACCCCAACTACCTCTCCCACTTTCTCCACTGCTCGCCTCCCTTATCACCTGACGTGTGCTAAGCCAAATTCAGAAGCTGAAAACTCCTATTCTGAGAGGCAAGTTTCAGTCTAAAACCTCCTACAGCTGAGCAAGCCACATTATCTCCCATCTCGTGATCCCCCGGGGCACTGACCTCGCCTGACACATTCCTCGTCTCCCTGTTTGCTGCTGACCTCTCCCACACGCGACTGTACACTTCATCCCAGCATCAGGGAGAAACCCATATTCTGCCCCAGGAAGAACCACTCTAAGTGGGAGTGGTATTTTCTTTTTTTTTTCTTTTTTTTTTTGGGGGGGGAGTGGTATTTCCAAACAAGAACCCGCCCGAGGGGCAGTGACGGTCTTCGTGACCGGTCTCCTGCATCGTGCCCGCAGAGCCAGTGAGCTGCTCCAACCGCAGCTTCGGTGCCCTGATCCAGGCTCACCCAACGCCACCCGTGTGGAGACGGCTGCCCGGCTGTTCGAGAGTCTCCATGCACGGAAGAGAGAGGGGCTCAATCTGGGTTAGGCAGGAGGGAAGAACTGAAGGATATTAGAAATCACAATCTGCAGGAGAAAAATAGGGCGTGGAAACCCCACTAGAGAACAGAAAGGTGCAGGGCAGAGCTGGTCTCCCAGGACACTGACCCATCCTCACAGGGTGGCTCGGGGGACGGGACAGGGCATGACAGTGGACTGGCGCTGGGGGCTGCAGAGCACTGCTGGAGAGCAGGGCTGACCAGGGCCCGTTCTCGGGGGCCCCACTGCGTGCCGCCCATCCCCGTGAAGGCTGGCGGTGCCCGACAGCGAACTGCCGGCAACGTCACCAGTAAGTGCCGATCTACGTCAAAATAACGAGGACACGTGAAAAGAGCATGGTCTTCAACTGAAAAGCTGAATTACATCTCCTTTCTTCTGAATCCGACTCTGGATCTCTGGAACAGGCACGTCGATGTAGATCACCACGTGAGGAGGCAGGTATTCACAGATGGTGACCTTCTTCACCTCGTTGTAGTGGTCCACACCTGGCACACACGAGACAGGCACATCCGTCACGTACAGGCCACCACAGGCGTCCACAACACGCGTCCTTTTGAATAAAAGCGCAAAGGTCTAGGCAATTCCACATGTCAATCTGAATCCAGAATGCACCACTGTCGGCACTGGCTGGACACACGTGACCCGTGACCCGCGGCAGGTGCCAGGGCACGCCACTCCCACAGCCCCGCACCCCAGTGCCGCTCGGCCCCGTTAGACCCCAAGCAGGGGGCCCAGAGACAGCACGTCACATCTAGGGTGGAACGATGAGACTTAAACACTGGCCTTAGGAACATTCGAAAGGTCATATTCTAAGGGCATCCGACCACAATGCAGCACCTACGTCTACTTCCTAGGCAAGGGGAGGGCACATGAGCGGCCGCCCTGGCAGCCCGTGGCTGGAACGCATCCTGCGCCCTGCTGTGTACAGCAGGAGAGAACAGTCTCATATTCTCCAGGAGTACAGACGTTTGTTATGCACTTTTTCAAAGAACTCAACAATATGAAACTACATTTTCCTGGTTCCAACGTATTTCAGTAACTTTAATCAGCTACACAGAACTACCTAGTGAAGCAGATTTAGTAATAAGAAATAAAAGAGCAATTAAGGCAGAGAGAGAACTGTCCTCGAGTTAGCACTGCGCAGAACAGGCCGCAGACCACAGCCCCGTAACTTGTGACACTAAGCACATCCATGCTGTTCCGAGGAGCACTCTGCCCCCGGGCGGCCTCCCCGTACAGCAACGGTACCAGAGCCAGCTCTGCAGATTTCCACAGGGTGGAAACTTCCAGGAGCGATAAACTACGGGAATCACACAAGGAGCCACAGAAAGACAATTCTGCTCTAAAGGAAACATTCAGGTGACCACGGCTGGCAACTGCGGCTCTAGCGGCAATTCGGGACAGACCCAAAGGTCGGCAAGGCTCTGCGATGCACGCGTGGGGAGGGGACAGCGAGTGCCCGAGGCTCACCTGGGGGTACTGTCCTCCTGTCGGGCAGAAAACACTCGGCCTGATACCGGCTTCCTACCTGGTCAGCCCGGAACCAGGCCAGCCTCGCCCACCCTCAGGCAAGACGCGCATTCTTCTGCCTCCTTCTCCGTGCTCCTGGGAGCTTCCCACTTCTGAGGCCATCTTCCACCTCGTGCTGCGCCAGCCAGTCTCAAGTCATGTTCTCCCCCAGCCCCACACGGAAATGACTCTGGCTGAAGTCATGGCCTCCTCAAGGGCACCTCTCAGCTGCTGTCCCAGGAGATCCTGCACACTCGTGCGACCACTGTGCCCGTGCCACCCTCACTGACCTGATTCAGCTTCAATGCCGCAGCAGGCTTCCCTGCCCAGAATCCCAGAAGGCCCAAGGACCCCGGCCACCGTGCGTACATCTCAGGTGGGGCTTTCCTGTCTGCCGAGCCCCCCAAGCCACGTCTGTGACACACGACCACCAGCCAGAACGTGCACCTGACCATCTCACGGGGATCTGGAACTCAGCACGCCTGTGGGCGACACCTCCTTCCCGGCCCGCTGCCGCTTCCCACCCTCTTTGCAGGGGAGCAAGCCTGGTGAATCTGTGTGACTCCCCCATCTCCCCCCGCGAAGCTGAATACCTAGCGTGGCCGTCATCCTAAGTAAGACGCCATCCCACGCTGACTTCCCCCCATCAGGCCTCCTTTCCTTTGATTTCCCCTCAGACGAATGAACTCAACCCGACCACATCCTTCCACACCCAACACCATCAGCGGCTCCTCGGTACTTTCAGGAAGAAGCCAAGCATCCTCGCTGGGGCGCAGGCCTCTCCCGCGCCGTCCCTGCCAGCACGGGCCCTCCCCGCCTCAACACCACAGGCTCCTCCGGCCGTGCCTCACCTAGCTCCCCGGCACCCTGCTGCCAGCCTGCCCGGGCCCACTTCTCAGGGATGCTGTCGAGGGCAGCCCCGGGTCTCCCAGCCAGTTAGAGCTCACAGCTCTAACAGTTAGAGCTGTGTGTGCCCACAGCACCCTGGAGGAACGGGCATTGACGCTGCTGTCATGTCTGCCCCAGAAACCCCTACTGCTGCTCCGAATGCCCAGAGAGGGCCGGTGCCTGGGCCAGAAGCAAGGGCTCTGGCGGCGCTCTCTGCGAGCCCAGGCACCACCCTAACAGCAGAACGTGTAAGCAGAGGATCCCTCATGGTCCCCTGGCTTGCTCCACTGCCCGTTCATGAACCAGCCCCTGGTACTCTGCCCTCCAGGGTGAGCCACCCGCCAGCTCCAGCCGGCCAAGCTCTCGGTGAAATGTCCTCCCAGACCCTCCCTGACCTGTCTCTGTGACTCCTCCGTCAGGCCCCCTTTGACCAGTCCTTATCCTCGTCCATGTGCCACCTGTCACACTTTCAACTCCCCCCACACGCTGTGGCTGTCCCTAGAAGCATCAGGACAGCACCGTATCAGACAGAAGGAGAAGATGATGATCATGCTGTCGTGCAGGTGCTGGCACAAGGAAAACAGACCTCCTAATGACACACAACATCACACACTAGAAATTGGTCAGTTCAGCGAAACTAAACCAGATCAGAGGAAGTGGGCTTAGGTATTTTGCAAGGTTGAAGAGATAGGGACGGGGGTGTGGTTTTGGGGAAGGTTAGGTGGAACCTCTGCTTTCACCAGGAGATACGAACTTAGGAGGAAAAGAGGGTGGAGGGAACCCTCTTTTTTCCTATGTTAATGTAACAGGTAATGGCATTTAGTCTTATGTTTAACAGACGCACAGAGGGCCCCCTAAGTGCAAGGGGAATCTACAGAACCTTTACAAAGCAACACAACACACCCAAGAAGGCCTGATTGCAGCCCGACTCACACTGCTTTCGGATGAATTGCTGGTTGTACATCGCCTCCAAGAAAACAAAGTCACTGAAGATGGAGCGTTCCAATACGACACCTTGTCCTGTATAAAAACAGGGAGATAAAAATCAGAAATCAGGTAAAAATCAAGCCAGTGGGAACAAGTAACTTCACTTTAGAAAGTCAAGTTACTGATAACACCATTCGCATACTAAACATTTCCAAAAACTAGGAGAACACTCCTGGTCTTGGTGATGTAACACTGTCTCCTCCTGCCAGCTACCCAGTTAAGAGGGAAGTATTTCTGTCTGAAACCACAGCTTTCCCACCCCAGCTACCCACCCCAATCCCGCCCCCGTCTGACTGCTTGGCCAGTCCCCAGCAGCATGCATGACTCTCCCCCCATGCCCCGTGCCCAAGTCTCAGTGAACCACCAACCTTCTCCTAACCACGTCTTGAACCCGACCATTCTACACGGCTTCCACAGCCACCTCCCCCCAAGGAAGACCTCCTCACTGCTGGCAAGGTCCCAGCCTCAGCGCCAACTAGGGCCTGTCTCTGCCCTTGCTCCCAGCCGCTCTCCCAGACACAGATGGGCACTCTCAAAACTGCGCTCAAGCCTCCAATGGCTTCCTCTCTCCCCCAGAGGAAAAGCATCTTGCCCAGGCCAAACTTCTCAGCCTCATTCAGTCCCAGCCCACTCGTGGCACTTATGTGACAGTGGCCTCCTGTGACCACAGCCGCCCTGAGCACGGTCCCTCCTGGCTCCTGCCCCCTCAGGATCCCTGCACTCAGCCCTGCTATGCCAGCACTGAGGCCTCCCCCACCTTCCCACCTGGAAGAACAGCCCCAGCCCCACTGCAAACCCCTTCTGAGCATCTCACGTTTACTCTTATCTCCCTACCACAGTGTAAGCTCCAGGAGGCTGCAGGCTTCACTTCCTCCACCCTGGCTTCTAGAACACACCTGGCACCTGGCACACAGCAGGCACTCACACAGTGTTCAATGATTAATATAACAAGAATAAGTAAGTTTTCATTTAAAATGCTCCTTTTTGACTTTAACAGGAAATCCTAACACAGGACTGAAATATGCTTCTAAAAGAATCTGAAGCAAGCCCAGTGGCAGTATGTATTCTGAGCCACCACACAGTTGCTGTGAGCCGGGTCCTGGTACAGGTATCACAAGGGACACCACATTTCTTCTCAGGAGCAGCACTAACGAAAATCATGATTACCTTCATAGGAAGAAACGTATCACTAAGAAAATTTTGGAAAAACAAGACAATAACCTGACTCCTCTATAACCGTTTAACTGAAGAGTGAATCCTGCATCTCATGGCATATACTATATCCTTGGAGACTGCCAGAGCATGTACCATATATGTGGAGCCCCCTGGAGCATTACTGCATAGTGGAGCCCCGCTGGAACACGTACCATATACGTGCAGCCCCGCTGGAGCATGTACCATGTATGTGCAGCCAGCTGGAGCAGGTCCATATACGCGGAGCCCCGCTGGAGCATGTACCACATACCATATACGCGGAGCCCTGCTGGAGCATGTACCATATATGTGGAGACCGGCTGGAGCATGTACCATATACGTGCAGCCAGCTGGAGCAGGTCCATATACGCGGAGCCCCGCTGAAGCATGTACCATATACCATATACGTGCAGCCCTGCTGGAGCATGTACCATATACCGTACACTTGCAGCCCCACCGGAGCATGTACCATATGGTGAAGCCCACCAGAGCATGCACCTTACATTTGCAGAGGCCCCCCAGAGCAGGTGCTGTGTATGGGCAACCCTGCCGGGACATGTACCGCACAGCGGAGCCTGCTAGAACACGAGGCAGTGGTTCCCAAATGCAGGTTTGTGAACCAGTTCCTCAGCCACCTGGGGCCCTTGTCAAAATACCTTCTTGCTCTCACACCACGACCCTCTGGGTGGCAGCTAAGCGGTCTGTAAATGAGTTCACCAGGTAACTGGACAGCTGACTTGGAGTGACAACCACTGCCGTAAGGGGCGGAGACGCAGCTCATACAATCTGCATCATCTCCTCTCACGAGCTTTGGCCCAGGACAGCAGTGTCTGCTACACCAGCACATTCTGGGGTAGGAGCCACGTTCAACCCCACACTGCTGGTCCCCAGGATGATGCAGTCCCTTCTGGACTGGACCCTTCTCTGCACTAACTTTACGTCCTGACCCCTGCTGCCCATCTCCCAAACAGTGCCTGACCCAATATATGGCCCTTGTCCATTTCTTGCCAGCTTCCAAAGACTTCCAGAAGTACACCCCCTTCCACTGTAGGGGCCCATGGGGCTCTGTGTGCTCTACCCACCCCGCCAATCCCCCCGGCCTCTGCACTTTCTCCAGGTTTAGCTGCTACCCAGGGGTGGAGAAGGTGAATCCCAGCCCACCCTGGGCCCACAGACACAAGCCTACTTTGTGTGTCACATCTCTGCGTGACTCACGGCTTGGCTCCACTGCACGTGTGACTCCCCTTCATCACAGTCATTTATAGGCTCTCTCTTTCCTGCATCTGTGGATACATCCCACCTAGGAGCCTAGAGCAGCGGCATGGAAATTCCATATAATCCATGAACCTCACTCCAGTACAGAAATGAAACAACACTAAGTGAATTGTATTCTAAAGCAGGAATAATGTGGATCTCGGGGAATTTATGATCTTCTTAAAAAGACAGGACTTGCCTCATCAAATACTCTCAAAGAAAAGCTCTACTTCGTGGCAATCTAAAATGGCTCAACTCCAGAACAGGGTTCGAGTGCTGAGCACGCCCCACAGCTACCAGGTCACGGGTACTGCACCTGTGCTCAGCAAGTGCTCCAAGGCGTCCGCGTACTGCAGGAGGCGGTTGGCATACAGCCAGGACTGCAGGCGGTAGCTGTTGCCGTCGTTACTCCTCGGGTCGTCGTAGAACTTCTCCATGCTGCAGCTGCCACTGAACTCCACGTCCAACGGCCTGCCGTCTCCTGTAGTGCTGTCGGCGTAATGTATCCCTGCTTCGGGGAAGTGCCTCAAGCCTGAGAGAAGAAATGCGACATGAGTGCCTCATCTGCCCTCGCGGGCAGCATGGACTCCAGGAACAAAGCCCCATCTAGACACATCGCTGAGGCTGAGCCACCCTCACACCTGTGTTTACACAAAACGCTGAAGACGTTATCCAGCACGCGTGTGCAACAGAAGCACATCAGCGAGAGGGCTGTGCTGCCAGGGGTCCCCAATGCTCCCATGGAAGTTCCTCCCCAAAAGGAAAGGGCCCGGGACTGTGGGAGCCCCCCATGTACAAGTGGGCACCAGCCAAATACTACAGAAAAGGATGATGGACAAACACCTTCACCAGGAATCAGGACCCAGGGTTCAAATCCTGGCTTTGTACGAATCAGCCGCCGTGTGACAGCAGCTTCTTACGGAGTGTACACACGTGTGAGTGACAGCAGTAAGCGGGGCTCTACTTCTGAGGACTGTCACAAAGCTCAAACAAGACCACTCATGTGAAAGTGCTCTGCTGACATCATCAAGAAAAACTTCCAATTCAAATTGATGACCAGTACGAATTCTTAAATTTTTCATTAAATGCAATCATTAAAAACACATTTTAATGTATTTTAAAAATGTAAAATGCCTACCTTGGGCCCAATTGTACCTAGTCAATGCTACAGTAATACCAAACTCAGAGAAGCAGTTGTGCACCTGCGAGGAAGGTGCTCCACGAGACAGAAGTCCGTACCTAATTTCTCTGCTATTTCTTTCGCAACCTTGCTTTTTCCAGAACATATATTGCCATCTACAGTTATCACTTTGCTGCGTTCCGTGAACTTTTTGGTTGTTCTTTCGCCGAGTATGTATGCCAAAGGGCCATACTGTAGCTTACACTGTGCACTTGTATGGATTCCTCCCTGAAAAACACAACAGCACCACGTGAGCATTCTGGTTACTGCAGGCACCAGCAGCCATTAGGTAAAAGGGCCGAGAAGACCCCTGGTGATAAAAATGCCAATACCTACTTTTTTATTACCTACTTACTTAACTACTGGTCTCCCTGCCCCACCCCTAATTTAAGTTCATAGGGACAGAGAGACTATCTGCTTTGTTTACTGCTAAATCCTCAGGGTCTGGAATAGAATATGCATACCGTGTTCTACAAAGGGTGGATGGATGGATGGATGGATGGATGGATGGATGGAAGACAGAGAGGAAGGAAATGGAAGTTAGAGAGGAGAGGAACAGAGCATTTTTCTAGTCCAGACTTCGTCCTGAGCTCCAGACTCGATGGTTACCTGCTTTTGAACAGCTCCATCTAGAGGTCCTGAAAATATCTGAAAGCTAACAGGCTTAGAACTGAAATTTAACATCCATACCCTAACCCCCAAATCTGCTCTCCCCCCAAGCTCCCTATCTATCCACCAACCAAAACCGAGCACACACGGGAATCACCTTGGATATCCTACTCCTTCCTTCAACCGTATCATTCACAAAATCCTACTGACCTTAACTCTGGAGCAAACTGTCTCCTCCCTATCCCCGCCACGATGGTGCAGACATCTTCACGTCTCTCATCTATGATGCAATGCCCGCTTCATCTCCTGTCTCCAACATACCCAACCTATTCTCTGCTCAAAAGGCCAAATGACCCACCCCCACCAACACACATAACAAAACACACGACATAAAGAGACACAATCAAAAGGCAAACAGCTAAGAAAATCCCTAGTGTATATAAAGGTTATACGGATCAATAAGGAATATCGATAGAATATGGAAAAAAAGGAATGCGTTGCTTATTTTGAAAGTATTAAAACTAGCCAAAAACCATATAAAGAAACGTTCACTCACTTATTTATTCATTCAACAAGTATTTATCAGGAGCCTACACAACGCAAAGCACTTTCTCTAGACAATGTGGATATGGAAACGAGCCAATGGATTCAACGGGACAAAATAAAAAAAAGTCGTTACAGTTGAGCCTTGAACAATGCAGGAGCTGGGATGCTGCCCTCCCCTCCCCTGTGCAGGTAAAAATCCACGTATAACTTTTGAGTCCCCGAGAAGTTAAGTACTAATAGCCTCCTGTGGGCTGGAGGCCTTGCTGATAATAAAAAGTCGATTAACATGTATTTTGTACGTGATACATATCATACACTGTTTTCTTACAATAAAGCTGGAGAAAACTTCATGACTTTAGGAAACTCTTAAAGAAGAGAAACTACATTTACAATACTGTACTTATTTAAAAAAAAAAAATCAGCAAATAAGTGGACCTGCACAGTTCAAACCTGTGTTGTCCACTGCATATGAAATAAGTGGTGGGGAGGGCAGCACGGCGTATGGGCCAGGTATGCTACACTGGGGGACAGAGTGACGTGTGGACAAAGACGTGAAGGCGCCAAGGGGACTGGCCAGCTGGACATCTGCAAGAGGGTCTTTCAGGGAGAGTGGAGGCAAGAGCACTGCAACATCAGCAAGGCCAGCGTAGCTCATGCCAAGTGGACTGGGGAGCAGCAGAGGAGGTAAGGGGGTGCCGGTCACGCTGCACCTTGCACCCCGGAAACTAAGCTCTCTGCCCCTGGCTACCCAGGAGCCCTGTGCAAACGCTCTCCATCCGTGCCCACAGCTTGACCGCGGCACACATGGGGCTCGCAGCAGGTGCCCGGGAACGTCTGGCCAGGCCACAGCCAACTACCGACTGAAATCTTCACAGAGTGGGTTTTCACAGTCATGGCACAATTCTCCAGGATTCCGCGCTCTCCGTCGTGTCTTACTGCTCTCCAGAACCACACGGGGCAGCTGACCTTTCGCGACACATTCCCAATTCCTTCAATTACCCGGGTAACAGGGCCGTCTACCCTCTCCATCCTACTCTTGTTTTCTCGAGACTGGGGCTGAAGCTCACCCACACCCCCTGCAGAGGGTACCAGCAGCAAGTGAGCACGCTGTGACTGACAGGGGGGAGGGGGTGTCCGCCTACTGCTGGCACCTGCAGCCCGGCGCACCTCCTCGATTCTGGGACCACTAACGCGATTCGCCGGACACTGCACGTTATAAAGGTGACCGCTATTCCTAGGTTTCTTCTCTTTGGCGGCCTGAGTCGTGTCGGGAAACATGTAGGTGGCTTTTTAGTTAAGACTACTGCACTGGGGACGCCCGGGGCGGGGGAGGGGGGGGTTGGGGTGGGCTCCGCGGCTGAGCCTCTGCCTTGGGCCCAGGGCGTGACCCCGGGGTCCTGGGATCGAGTCCCATGTTGGGGTCCCCGCAGGGAGCCTCCTTCTCCCTCTGTGTCTCTCATTAATAAATAAATAAATAAATAGATAAATAGATAAATAAATAAATAAAGTTTAAAAAAAAAAAAAAAAAAAAGACTGCGCTGGGGACCCCGGGGAGGCTCAGCGGTTGAGCATCAGCCTTGGGCCCAGGGCGTGACCCCGGGGTCCTGAGATCGAGTCCCATGTTGGGGTCCCCGCAGAGAGCCTCCTTCTCCCTCTGTGTCTCTCATTAATAATTAAATAAATAAATAATGTTTAAAAAAAAAAAAAAAAAAGACTGCGCTGGGGACCCCGGGGAGGCTCAGCGGTTGAGCATCAGCCTTGGGCCCAGGGCGTGACCCCGGGGTCCTGAGATCGAGTCCCACGTCGGGCTCCCTGCACGGAGCCTGCTTCGCCCTCTGCCTGGGTCTCTGCCTCTCTCTCTCTCAGGAATAAATATAAATAAAGACTTTTTTTTTTTTTAAAGGCCACTGCGCCGTCCTCTTGCGAGCCCTCCGGCCGGCATCCTCAGCAGGGAGGTCAGGCAGGGCCCTCCGCGGTCCGACCCCCACGCGCGGCGAGGCGCCTGCAGGCCGAGGCACCCGCGCGACCCGGTTACTATAAACACAAACAAAAGCCGGTTTCCCAGCGTCCCCTGCGGCCGCCCGCGGCCCGGGTCCTCCTGCCCGCCCCCGCCCCCCCCCCCCCCGGTCGCCCCCCGGCCTCTCCCACCATCGGGCCGCAGCACCCCGGGAGGACGGCCCAGCAGCACCCCGCCGCCCGCTCCCGCCTCACCGCGCGGAGGGCGGCCGCCGCGGACGCAGGGAGCGCTCTCAGCAGCCTCGACGCCATGGCTCCGCGCTCGGCACCGGCTCAAGGACCCGAGGGGACGCGGGCGCGACGGGGGCCTCTTCCGCGGCCGGCGCGCCGCGTGACGTCACGGCCGGGGTGCCCGCGGCGCCTGCCGGGAGCTGCCGCCGGGGGGCGGGGCGGCGCATGCGCCCAGAGCGGGTCCCGCCAGCCGGACCCGGTTCCGGGGCTGCGACCGAGAGGTCGTCTGCGGGGTCTCCGGGGTGCGGGGCGCGGAGCCGAGGCCGATCCCCCGCGTCCCCGGGGCTGCAGGGTGCGCAGCTGAACATCCGCCCCAGGGCGCAGGGCAGGGCTCCCCGACCCCGACCCCATCCTCCCGGCCGAGATGGGGGCCCCGGGGGTGCACGCGGACCTCCCCGCCCCAGGGCGCAGGGCAGGGCTCCCCGACCCCGACCCCATCCTCCAGGCCGGGATGGGGACCCCGGGGGTGCACGCGGACCTCCCCGCCCCAGGGCGCAGGGCAGGGCTCCCCGACCCCGACCCCATCCTCCAGGCCGAGATGGGGAGCCTGGTGCACGCGGACCTCCCCGCCCCAGGGCACATGCAGGACAGGGCTCCCCGCCCCGTGTCCGTCCTCCAGGCCGGGATGGGGGCCCCGGGGGTGCACGCGGACCTCCCCGCCCCAGGGCGCAGGGCAGGGCTCCCCGACCCCGACCCCATCCTCCAGGCCGGGATGGGGACCCCGGGGGTGCACGCGGACCTCCCCGCCCCAGGGCGCATGCAGGACAGGGCTCCCCGCCCCATGTCCGTCCTCCAGGCCGGGATGGGGGCCCGGGGGTGCACGCGGACCTCCCCGCCCCAGGGCACATGCAGGACAGGGCTCCCCGCCCCGTGTCCGTCCTCCAGGCCGGGATGGGGGCCCCGGGGGTGCACGCGGACCTCCCCGCCCCAGGGCGCAGGGCAGGGCTCCCCGACCCCGACCCCGACCCCATCCTCCAGGCCGGGATGGGGACCCCGGGGGTGCACGCGGACCTCCCCGCCCCAGGGCGCAGGGCAGGGCTCCCCGACCCCGACCCCATCCTCCAGGCCGAGATGGGGAGCCTGGTGCACGCGGACCTCCCCGCCCCAGGGCACATGCAGGACAGGGCTCCCCGCCCCGTGTCCGTCCTCCAGGCCGGGATGGGGGCCCCGGGGGTGCACGCGGACCTCCCCGCCCCAGGGCGCAGGGCAGGGCTCCCCGACCCCGACCCCATCCTCCCGGCCGGGATGGGGAGCCTGGTGCACGCGGACCTCCCCGCCCCAGGGCGCATGCAGGACAGGGCTCCCCGCCCCGTGTCCGTCCTCCAGGCCGGGATGGGGGCCCGGGGTGCACGCGGACCTCCCCGCCCCAGGGCGCATGCAGGGCTCCCCGACCCCGACCCCATCCTCCCGGCCGGGATGGGGGGCCTCGGGCCGGCAGCCCCCTACCTCCTCGGACAGCATCGCCCCGACCCCCGAGCCCTGAGCGCTCCCCGGAACTGCGCCCTCCTCGGCAGGGTTTCTCCTCTGGCCGCTGCTCTAAAGGGTTTTCTGCGGTTGGACTTGCGCTGGGTCCCGGCCTTTGGGGATGCTCGCGGAGTTGGGGGCCAGCATGGGAACGCGGGGCTGGAAACCAAGGTCTTCCAGCGGATGTTTGTCGGACTTGAAAGCTGGTGCTGGTCGGGATGCGGGGTCCCAGTGGGTGGATCCAGGGCAACCAGGAGATGGCGGGTGGGCCCTGAAACCTGGGGCAGTGGTCCCCATTGAGGGGCACCCTTGCTAAGCCCACCTTCGCTTCCTACCCCGCCAAGTCCCAGCCCCAGGTAAAGCTCCTCCGCGTTGCAGGTGCACCTCCAGCCCCATGGGGTCACCTCCTGCCCAAGACCTCATCCCCGCTCAACCTCTGTCTCCAGGGAGCCCAGCGCCCCTTCCAGGCTGGCGGGGGTGGGGGGCACCCTGTGTTGTCTGTTCTCACCTTGCCCTGTCATCCATCCCACTCACATCTTGCCTCTAGCGCTGCCCGTTTTCTTTCCCAGCTTTGCCCCCGATGGAGACCCATGTAGCCGGCTACAACCAACGTGTCCTTCCCTGTCCAGAAACACTGGGGCGGGAAAACCACGCGCTCAGGGAATTCACTTCCGGATGAGCTTCGTTCATAAACACCTGCAAGCCGTGCTTCTGTCCAGCTCCAGTCTGACTCCTTATGTGATCACTACGGCAGTGAAACCAAGTGAGGGAAAACTCAATATTGGTTCATAAGAAAACGTGGATGTTTCTGGATGAATGGCAGATTCTTGCTCCATCCCGAGGTCACATGACTTGTGAGCCGGTGCTAATAAGATTCACATTTATGTAGTGTATGCTCGTAAAGCACCATCCCCCAGATCATAAGGTCTCCAGTCTCCACGTGAGGTCGTGTGTAGCGCCCGACACGTCCACGCTGCCTAGCAATGTAAAGCAAGTGATGGAAACCTCGCAGGAACCCACACGCCTCGTGCGTGCGCGCATGCACGTGGCAGCATGTACAGCTTGACCTAGATCCCAAGCACTTGACTAGACCTAGATCCCAAGCACTATTGTTGACCTAGATCCCAAGCATTATTGTTGTGTCACCTCTGACTTCTTCCCCGAGAACTTGTGTCCCCACGAAAACCTGTGCATGGGCGTTTGTGGCAGCCAGACCCTGGAGTAACCAGGCGGGGTGTCCTTCAAAGGGTGAGCGGTAAACGGACCGGCGCACACCACGGAGTGCAGCCAGCACCACGGACGTGGAAAAGAACAAGGAATCGCACTCTGAGAAAATGACTTCTGAGAAGGCACGACTCCATTGACACAATTTTGAAATGACGTTTTGGAGACCGAGGCCACATTAAGTAATAGCCGCAGGGTTAGCAGTGGGGGGGACGTTTGCAGGAACGAGAGTAAAGTGGTGCACTTACAAGACCAGCATGAGGAATCCGCGTGGTGTTGGGCAGTTCGGTGTCTTGGGGGGGGGGGGCGATGGTGAACCCAAAACCTACACAGATGAAAACGTTTTGTAAAACTTAGGACACGCGCAGTGACGCAGACGCAAATAAGCACAGGAAACGCGGGAAGTCTGAAGGAGGTGAGTGGACCATCAGCATCCACGTCCCGGTGGTGACGCTACTAGAGTTACGCGAATGTTATCTTTGGGAGAAATTGGGCGAAGTGTACGAAGGATCTCCGTGTTGCTTCCTATGACCGCGTGTGAACCTACCGTTACTTGAGTAAAGTTTTGAATTACAGAAGCCGCCAGTAGTGCCATGGGGCTTCTCTGGTCTGTCCCACCAACATCTGTGTCGCAACAATACCCTCGACGACTGTAGTTGTAGAGGGAGTCTCAAGGTCAGTAGACTAATTCCTCCAGCTTTATCTCCTTCGAAACTGTTAGCCGTTCTACTTTTGCCTTTTCATATAAATTTTAGGGTCGTCTTCCCTGTACGTATGGAAACTCTTGCTGCGATTCTGATAGTGATTGCGATAAACATGCATAGCAGTTTGGGGAGGATTAGCCTCTTTGCTGTGCTGACTCCTACCCCCCATGCCCAGCAGATTCCCCCCCCCCATTTATCTGCACCCTCTCTGAGTCCTGCCGCCAGCACCGGACACTTTCCAGCATGGAAGTTCTGCAGTTTGGGTAGAGTACACCTAAACACTTAAAAAATGTTTAGTGTCTTCAAATGGTATTTTATTTTTTGTTTTTATTTATTTTTATCTTTTTCTTTTTGATTTGAAAATTTATTTATTTATTTATTCATTCATTTTGAAGTATTTTTTTATTGGAGTTCAATTTACCAACATATAGCATATCACCCAGTGGTTATCCCATCAAGTGCCCCTCTCAGTGCCTCTCACCCCGTCACCCCAATCCACCGCCCAACTCCCTTTCCATCACCCCTTGTTCATTTCCCAGAGGTAGGAGTCTCTCACGTTCTGTCTCCCTCACTGATATTTTCCACTCATTTTCTCTCATTTCCCCTTTATTCCCTTTCACTGTTTTTAATATTCCCCAAATGAATGACAACATACACTGTTTGTCCTTCTCCGATTGACTTACTTCACTCAGCATAATACCCTCCAGTTCCATCCACGTTGAAGCAAATGGTGGGTATTTGTCGTTTCTAATGGCTGAGGAATATTCCATTGTATACATAAACCACATCTTCTTTATCCATTCATCTTTCGATGGGCACCGAGGCTCCTTCCACAGTTTGGCTATTGTGGACATGGCTGCTAGAAACAATGGGGGTGCAGGTGTCCCAGCGTCTCACTGCCTCTGTGTCTTTGGGGAAAATCCCCAACAGTGCAATTGCTGGGTCGTAGGGCAGGTCTATTTTTGACTCTTTGAGGAACCTCCACACAGTTTTCCAGAGTGGCTGCACCAGTTCACATTCCCACCAACAGTGTAAGAGGGTTCCCTTTTCTCCGCATCCTCTCCAACATTTGTGGTTTCCTGCCTTGTTAATTTTCCCCATTCTCACTGGTGTGAGGTGGGATCTCATTGTGGTTTTGATTTGTATTTCCCTGATGGCAAGTGATGCGGAGCATTTTCTCATGTGCATGTTGGCCATGTCTATGTCTTCCTCTGAGATTTCTCTTCATGTCTTTTACCCATTTCGTGATTGGATTGTTGGTTTCTTTGGTGTTGAGTTTAATAAGTTCTTTATAGATCTTGGAAACTAGCCCTTTATCTGATATGTTATTTGCAAATATCTTCTCCCATTCTGTAGGTTGTCTTTGAGTTTTGTTGACTGTATCCTTTGCTGTGCAAAAGCTTCTTATCTTGATGAAGTCCCAATAGTTCATTTTTGCTTTTGTTTCTTTTGCTTTCGTGGATGTATCTTGCAAGAAGTTACTGTGGCCAAGTTCAAAAAGGGTGTTGCCTGTGTTCTCCTCTAGGATTTTGATGGAGTCTTGTCTCACATTTAGATCTTTCATCCGTTTTGAGTTTATCTTTGTGTCTGGTGCAAGAGAGTGGTCCAGTTTCATTCTTCTGCATGTGGATGTCCAATTTTCCCAGCACCATTTATTGAAGAGACTGTCTTTCTTCCAGTGGAGTAGTCTTTCC